ATAGATTCTGGTAGCTTGTAGCAACAATTTTGTTTGTCTCAGGATATTTTTTTGATTTCTACTTTGATTTCCTCTTTTACCCAGTTTGTTTTAAGCAGCCTGTTTTTCAGTCTCCATACATTTATAGATTTTACTTTTTCCCCCACAGGTTTCTAGCTTTATTACTTTATGTTCAGAACTAGTTCTTGGTATAATTTCAAGCTTTGTGGTTTTTCAAATAATTGACTTGTTTCCCTGCATATAATCTTTTCTTGAAAATGTTCATGTGCACCTCAAAAAAGAAAAGGTGTATTTAGCATTTATTTATTTATCTATCTATCTATCTATTTATTTATTTATTTAATTTTTGTGGCATGTTCTGGATATGTCTGCTAAGACTATTTGTTGTTAACTTCTTATTTAAGGCCTTTGTTTCAATATTTATTCTTTCTTGACGATCTGTCCATAGTTATATGTGGAGTATTAAAATTCCTACGTATTAATGTGTTGTTGTCAATTTCTCTTTTTAGGTCTGTTTTGTCTTATGCATTTGGTGCTCTGCTATTTGGTGCATATATATTTATGTGTTACTTCTTTTTGTTGTGTTAGTCCCTTATTCATAATGTAATGTCCATTTCTATCTCTTAATAGCTTTTTAAATCAGAAGTCTAATTTATCTTGTGTAAGAATAGTTGTTCTTGATCTTTTTTAATAGCCATTTGCTTGCAGTATTTTTTTTGCAAACATTAGCTATTAAGTCTGTGCTTACCTTTATTGGTAAAATGGGTTTCCTTAAACAACAGAATTTGGGTTTGTTTAGAAATCTACTTACCCACTCTTTACTTTTTTTACTGGTGAATTCAGGTCATTTACTTAAAGTGATTGTTGAGACGTAAGTGCTCATTATCATTTTTTTTAGTTTGACTTTTCCTTTTACTTTCTGATATACTCTTTATGTTTTGTTTAACATTTCCATTGTATTAAATGTGATTTTTGCATGAAGATTCTTCTGATGTTATCATTTGATGTACTACTTGCGTAGCCCTTGAACATATGATCTGAAACACATTCTGTTGTGTCATATTATTCTTCTCCTCCTCCTCCATATTATATACTTTAGTTGTCTCTCTATATATTTGTTTTTCTCTTGATTTATAGTAACCACTTTATCAATTTTTAAATAGTGTCTGGTAGGTGTTGATTAATTCTTCTAGTTTTTGCTTTTCAGTGAAACTCCTTACTCTTCCTTCTAGCTATATGTTAATCATGCAGGACAAAGGATTCTAGACTGGTAATCTTTTTCTTTTTGTACTTTACATATCTCTTACCCTTCTTTCTTGCTTATACATTTTCTACTGGAAAGTACATTGACAGCCAAACTAGTGTTCCTTTATAGGTTACCTTTGTTTTTCTTGTCGACAATTTTAATATCCTATCTGCGTCTCAGAATATTTCTGTCTGGTATTATTTTGTTCAGAACTCTTGGATCAGGTCATCACATTCATTTCCCAGGTTGAGCTGGTTCTAAGCTATTATTTCTTTAAATTGATTTTTTTTATATCTTTGGTTTTTCTTTGTTTGGGTTGAAATTCTAACATTGATGAACTATGTGACTGCAAGTTATTTAACCTGAGTTATCTTACTCTGTAAAATAGGACTTTTATCTAGTTTTCAGGTGATTAAAAATCAGTATGCAAAAGAGGACATAAATTTACATACCAGTCTGTCATTACCTAGAGTGGGAGTCTTGTAAAAAACTTTTACTGATTTATAAAATAGGATGATGACAGTTATCTTTTATTGAGTCCCCTTAATACATACTCCTATGTAAATAAACTGTTCTAAGAGCTTTGTATTTCTTTAAAGTTACTTATATGTATTTTTAATTGAGGTAATATTTGGATACCCTCAGCAGCTATTACCACTGTAGTGCACGCACAAACAACTCACCCATAGTCCCCCAGCATGGTCCTTTGTGCTTTCCTCTTTGTTCTTACCCCACTCCCTCCCCCTTGGTGTTTCAGATCTGTAGTCTGGAATCAAGGGTTAGTTTTTAAGCTAATCTTTATCTGACTCTTAATTTAGTTACTTTGTATTCCACATATTAGTGACACCATCCAGTATTTATCTGTCTCCTTCTGACTTATTTCATTTTGCATTATCCCTTCCCACTCCATCCATCCATGTTGCCACAAATTGCTTGAGTTTATCTTTTTGATTGCTGAGTAAAATTCCATAGTGTATATGGAATTTTGATCCACTCATCTGTTTTGGGGCACTTAGGTTATTTCCATGATGTAGCTATAGTAAATGGTGCTGCAATAAACTGACATCATACTTTCAATTTCACTAGTTCTCTCCATTATTTGCTTTTGTTTGATTTTGAGTTCCTCTATTAAAGTTGAAAATTGATTATTTCATTTTATAGATACATTCTTTCTTTCTAAACATAACAGTCTCATATGTAAGCATATATATGTGTACAGGTATACACATATATATGTATTTCAATAAGTTAGTATTACTATAATTGTTACATTGAACTCCTCTTTGGGCATAATCTGCAGTTATACTGTACTAAGGGTTTTTTAATCTTGTTTTATTTTTTTACCCCTGCATTTTTTTTTTTAAATAGAGGCATGTTTTATTTATTTATTTATTTATTTATTTGTTTGTTTGTTTGTTTGTTTATACATGCACTGGGTACAGTCAGAAGCGTGGGAGGGTGAGAGAATTCACCAGAGCCAGAGCGGGGAGCAGAGCAGGCAGAAGGACGGAAGTACACTGCTGAGGGGAGCAGCGGGCGGCAGGAGAGGTCTGTGCGCCATGTGGGACCCTCCTCTGGTGGCCGGGGAGCAGCCGGGGATCGAACCGGTGCTGCAGAGGCCGCGGGCCGCTTCGCAACCCAGCGCTCAACCGCTATGCCATCGGGGAGGCCCACCCCTGCATTTTTGATATATTCTTTTGTCTTTTAATTTTTAGATTTTATAAGTTGTAGTAAGAATGAAATTTAAGACTACTGTCCCTTTACCTAATAACATTTCTGAAGAACTGATATTAGCGATGATGTGTTATAGGTAGGAAAGAACTGGGGCATTGGGGCAGAAAAGGGCTTTCTCAAAACAGTCTCAGGGATTCGAAAGTCCTACTGTGTTGTGTGTAGCAGAATTGTATGATGGGTATCCATAGTGATTCACTTTTTAGGCCAGCTCCTAATCTTGTACCGACCTCAATCAAGATGTTATGTTTGAGCACTAGATGTACCCTTGGGCATGGATAGTAATTGAGACAGTATCATGAACTGGGAGTTGTTCTCTTTGCTTTTCCAGTAAAGATCCTTACCCTGAGGTACTTGTTCTATTGTAATTATCCAAGTGTTTAAAACTCCAGTTAGTGAAAGTATTCAGTTGACTTGTATTTGGTCTTTGGTGGGGCAGTGGTAGGTATTTAAAATATCATAATCTCAGGCTGCAAATAGTAGCCTTTTCTATAAAGAGACACAGGTGATCACACCTGACTCTTCCCACTGGTTTGTATATTAGGGACCTCCATCTCAAGCCAGTTATAATCATTTTGCATGCCTGGTCCTACATTCTCTAATAGTGTACTCTCTGTCTTGGACACTAATTCTGTGTATCTCCTTATCCAGTATATTGCTGGGTCCCCAAAGTCCCCAATGTGGGTATGTGTCCTCTACTGGCCTTCTAGTGGCATAGTAGCTGTAGTGGGGTACCATAGAACAGGCACTCTTCCATCTTATATTTTGTTGTGCCCTGATATTATTACAAATGATTTAGTTGAAGTTTTTCTTATCCTTTTCTTCTGGAACATTGTTGCTGTGTATGAGGTTTTAGCGGTTATTAACTTTCTTCTGTGGCAAATTAGTTGTGGATATATGCAGAAGGCAAGCCTAATGTTCTCTCTGCAGCCATCTTGCTGAAATCCCTGACTCTGTCTTTGCTTTTTTATTCTATTTTTAAAAATATTTATTTATTTATTTATGCATACAAGAGCTGGGGTACAGGCCAGAGAGGCGGGGGGTGAGAGGATTCACCAGAGACAGAGTAGGGAACAGAACAGGCAGACTGACTGAAATACTCTGCTGAGGGGGAGCAGTGAGGAGGAGACAGGAGGGGTCTGCCTCGCCATGTGGGTTGCTCCCTGGCTGGCTGGGGATTGAACTTGTGCTGCAGAGGCTGCAGATTACTTCATAGTGCAGTGCTTAAGCCCTTGTGCCACCAGGGAGGCCCTGCTTTTTTTTATTCTACACACAACACTCTATTCAACAGCAACTATTCCAGCTCTAGTGGTCTTCTTGTTCCTTGAACATGAGAGAATTTTTCTTTTGCAAACCTCTGCATTTGCTTTTCTTCCTTTTACATTTACATGACATCACTTCAAATCCTTTGTGTCTATTTTTGGTGCTATTTTCTCTCTAAGACCTTATTTATATTCTTCCTTTATCAGTTTTGCTTTGCCTTCCCTTGATTTTCTAATTCATTGCTCTTCTCTTTTATAGCACTCATCTTCAGCACTACCTTTTCATCATCCAGTTCTGTCCTATTCCCCCATCATTCCTATTATTCCCTACATATGTGGTGTGGTGATTTATTTAGTGTTGAGTGGAACATCTGGGACTCTTCAGGCATTTATCTCTCCTCTGAAATTTCTCTAGATAGGTAATTTTTGAGTAGTTGGATATCATACATGGCAACTTAGGATTCCACAGCTACTGTCTTGAAGACTTATCTATACACCAGCTGTATTTCTTTCCTAAACTAGCCTCAGAGGTCATGCAGTATCACTTCTGTCACATTCTATTGGTGGACATCATTATAAGACTGCTCAGGTTCAAGAGGGAAGGTGTCTTGATGGGAGGGCAGTCAAATAATTTGTACATATTTTAAAATTGCAATCTGGTCTTTATGATTGAGCAAATAGTTAATTGCATGGTCTAATTATAGCATGTAGAAAAACAGCATGATTTATAAACATGGAATTTCTACTTCTTGATATTTCAGAAGCCTTGAATATACTTTATGCTTCACTGGACCATGCTTCCTTTGATAAAGACCATCTCCCTGTGTTATTTTTTGTTGCGGAATCAGTTTTATATAGACTATGTTGTGATGCATTCCTAAAGACATACTTATATTCAGTTGAGCTGAAGCTGACAAAGGTATGTTTTAAAATATTTTAGTGTGTTTTAGTCACTGCATGTACTACATGTATCCCCATGATGTCTGTTTTAGAACCTGGACAGGACATTTAGTTTTATTATGGAATATTCTCTGATGTAATTGTTTATTTTAATCTTCTCTACATGTGGATGCTACGTTATTACTTGTTATCCAATAACAAGTTGGATATTTGAGACTATATAATTTTACAAACACTGTAAGAAAAAGATATTTAATTAAAAATCAAGTTATACTTATGTCTGAGTATACACAACTTTTATTTTCTCTATTTTAAGAATTCTTAAGTGTCCCTGTGCTATTTTAAAAATACTGACAAATAACCTTCATTGTTGCCCAATTTGAGAAGCTGAATTGTTCTCTTAGTATTCTATGTCATTTTAGAGATAAAATATGGAAAACTATTTTTATGTAGCTCATGTTTCATAAGGTCCTGGAAGTCATGTGGTTCTGTTCCCTATGAAGAGAATGGTTGACTTCTGCAAAACTTATTAGTCAAATAAATTTAGTGAAACTACTGATTTTTTGGCAAAGAAAGGAAAGAAAGTCTAGAAGAAGAGTTTCTCCAAGAATATCACAATTGAATCACAATTGAAATTTATTGTTTGCAAAAATACATTTTTCTTGTTCAATTTTGATCGTGAAATATTAGAAACTGAGCTTGAAATTATTCATGAGTAGGATATTAGGGCATTTTTGGAAGATGCTGTATTTTAGTTCTTATTCATCAAGCTTAGATGTTCTCTGATATGTTTTGGATAAAAGACTGATGGTGAAACCAGGCGAAATACAGATAGCACATGACAGAAATTGAACATACAAGGAAATGAGACTTTGCTTAGAAGATTGGGGAGAAGAGACATGTTATTAAGAATGACTGTATTTGCATGTAAAGATTATGTGACCTTTTAAAAATTATTTCTGTTTCTCAAACCATCTACTATGGAGACATATAAAAGATTATATTTATAAATTTATTGTTTAGATTCCAAAAGCTATATATACATAAACATATATAATTACACACATACATACTAACATAGACATAGGTGTCCATTGTGTATATATATATATATATACATACATACTCATGCTCTTACATGTATGTATGTATGTATGTATGTATGTACACATATTATCTATCGTTAATAATGGAAAAAAAAATGAAATGGAAAAACAGAGCAAATCTGTTTTTCCTTCTCATATCTTTTGTCTAATAACACTTTTCCATTCTTTAAAAAAATTTTTATAGCTAACACTGGTTTATAACACTGTACATGATTTTTCAGGTATAGGATCACATCTTTCATGTATAAGATCTCACACCACATGCACCACAGAGGCGCCCATCCAATAGTCTTCCACCATGATCTATTGTGCCTTTTCCCATTTGTTCTTCCCCTCCCCCTTCTCCTCTGGTAGCCTCAATTCTAAAGTCAGACTTTTAGGATATTTTACTAGTTTCGAGATGTCTGACCTTTTGTTTCTCTATACTCCACATCTACCATCCCATGTTTGTCTTTTTCCTGACTTGTTTCACTTTGCATTATCACCTCCAGTTCCATCCATGTTGTAGCAAATGATGAGAGTTCATGTTTTTTATAGCTGAGTAGTATTCTATTATGTACATACACCACATGTTCTTTATCCATTCACCTGTTATTGGGCAGTTGGGTTGCTTCCACAACTTGGTTATTATAAACGGTGCTAATGTCAACCAAGGAGTACATGTATCCTTTTGAATTAGTGTTTTTGTGTTTTTTGGGTAAATACCTAGGAGTAGAATTACTAGATCATGTGGTATAACTAGTTTTAATATTTGACAAATCATCATACTTTTTCCTCATTTTCTGTCAAATCTTGCACATACATTTATAAAACAGATGATTCATTTTTGTAGTTTATGTAAATGAAGCTGCTATAGCTATACAAGTATTTTAAATTTTATTTAAGATATTACAGTGTTTATTTAGTAATGACATTGTGGGTGTGTGTATTTATGTAGGAATGGGAATCTTAATATAGTATACTATGCATAGGCAGAATATTTATTAAAACTACCTAAAGCAATACTTTTTCATTTTATTTTTTATTGAGACCCAAAGGAAGAAAGTTGTTTTGCCTTGCAATACATTGCAGTGCACACATATGCATTCATTTATATACTGAAACAAGGAAGTAGGTAATGTACTATGATATTTACTTTTATTTAAATTCCTCTCTCAATTGATTTTATGACTCAATTAAGGTGTATGACTTGCAATTTGAAAATACTGTTCTAAAGGGCATACAACAAAACAATATTCAATTTTGGTCATTATATGTAATATTTAGGTGATTTATACATTCTTTTTTGCCAGAAACAGTATTTCAACCTTGATGTAAATATTTTAAAGTTGTTCCAAAAGCATATAATCTCATGTGAGTTTGAAATTGTTTCATCAAAAGCAAATGTAATAATAAAATGGTTATTTTACTATGAGTTTTAAACATTTATTGATGCAGCACAAACATGATTTTTTCTTTCTCTTTTGACAGATTGCCTATTTGGTCTTCTTACGACTTTATATATTTTTCCTGCATGGTCATCTAGAAAATTTTCAACAACATTTACTTAGGCTTCAACCATATTTTTATGGTAGACCATCTTCTATTTTCTATACTAACAAATATTTTATCTTGTATTTTGAGAAGTTCACACTGTTCCTATAGAAAATAAAGGTGTTTTTCTTTTCCCCCATGAAAGATAATAGGTATGATATTGACAAGCATAGGTTCTACGCCAAACTGCATAGATTTTGTTTTTAACTTTACTACTTATATAAATAGGTGACCTTGCTGGTGACTTAGTTTCCTCATTTATAATAGTATCTGCTTTTCTCTAGATTTCAAAAAAGTTAAATTCATAGTTTTGTAAGATAACACTAAATATGTGGATGCAGAACTGGAATAAGGGAAGAGTGGATTAAAAAAGAAAATTAGCTGTAATGTTAGTTTAGGCAAGAGATTTTAAAAATTCAGATAAACTATTAAATCGGAATGTGATAGAATAAAATATTTTTGAAAAATTTTGGGACATAAAAGGCACTGGACTTGGTGATCAGTTGTATTTAGGCGGTGAATATAAGGGAAGAGATGAATTTAACAGGTATATTATCTGTATGTGTTTACTAATAGGGTCGATAGTACGATGTTTAAACTAAGAAAATTTTCTCCGATAACAAATGTTGGACATACTGAATTTGAAGTTCACAAAGATATGTATGTATGTATGTGTGTATGTGTATCTATCCATCTCTCTCTCTCTCTCTCTCTCTATATATATATATATATATATATATATATATATATATATAAAGCAAATGATTGAGAACATAGACTTAGAATTATAAAAGTACTTAAGTTATTTCATGGACATTAATCTGGAAGACTTGATAATCATTCCTGTTAATGTGATTGCAATAACATGGGGGTGGAAGATGGTGGGAAAATAAATTAATTATAAGAATAGAGTCTTGGGAACATAAACAGTTAATGGATCATTGTGTAACACACAATAAAGTAAAGGAGAAGTAAGGGCAATAGTGATGACGTGGGAATCTAACGAGGGCAGGTTCAAGAAGACCAACATTATCAAGAAGCTATAGAAGTATTGGATAATAAAAAGTGTGAAAGTGGTGATGTATTTTGTTGATCTTGGGAATACTCCTAAGGTAGATGTTGAAACAAAATTCAGACTGGAGGTAAATAAAAAGCGAAGTAAAAGTTTAAACATGAGATGATGATGAACTACTTCAAAAATGTACCTATAAAAGGATGGGAAAATATGTTAATAGTTTAGGTGAAACAACAAGGTCAAAAGAAAAGAAGGTTGGATGTTGTAGGATAAGGGATGAAGAGACTCAAGATACAGAAAGGGGATAATATATGAAGGAAAAATTAATCGAGGAGGGAATGGAACATAATGGAACATAATGGTGGAAGTATTTTAGCACTACTACAAGTTCTGAAAGTCTCTGAAACCAAGATGAGGTTGGAGACTGGTAGAAGAGGCGTTCTTTTATATCACATCACTTATTTGGATTTCTTCATTACATTAGCATCCTCTTCTTAATGATTCATAGTGAATACATTGACTCTTCCAATTCTCAGATGATAGTAAACATATTTGAAATCTCAAGTTCTCACATTTAGCTAGTTATTTTTTTATATATCTCAAGAAAACTAATAGCTATTTCATAAAGATTAAGTTCCCAGATTTTGCCCTCTTAACAAATATTGTTAGGTAGAGACTTGGAGGCTATGTCTTCATCTTCAGCAGCAGGATGCCTGAAGCTTTTAGCAGGTTTTGCCTATCCGTATAACTAGATATCTATAGAAGAGTGACTGTTACTAATTTTTCCATAGTGTTTATAGATTGAAATGCAAAGATTGTCTAAAAGTTTATAAAAAGGTAGTTTTGTTAAATATCACATAGTATTATGTTGAATGACATAATTATTGTCTCTATATAAAGTATACATTTTAAAATATCTATAACAATAATATCTTGAAAAAATGGGAAAAGTTGTGTTAAAAGCACTGATACTGATTTGTTTCCAGGATACAAATTCAAAGTATCCATTAGTGAACAGGGTAATATAACTTGATTTATTTTCATTTGGAAGTTTTCAATTATTGTTATGTGGTAACTATACTTAATTGGGAGTTTAACTATTATGCAAGTGTTCTGAATTATATCATGTATAAATTAGCTGAATTATTTTATGTATGAATTATTTCCTTGTAGTTCTCTATTACACCACCAGGTGTCACACAAAACAAATGTTGAATAGGTGGAGGAATGTGCAACAGTTTGAGCAAGTGTACTCAGGTTAACTATATTTAAATAACTAAAAGACAAATGAAATACAATACAAGATACTAATGAAATATTTCTCTTATGCATTAATTTTCTTACAACAGCACTTTCTTCCTCTGGAAAGTCATATAACAAGTATCCAAACATTTTTTCAAATGTGCAATTCATTCTAAATATCATGGAAATCATATATAAAGGAGAATTGTCCGAGTCAATTTTTAACCCTTTGAAAAATGAGAAAAGACATGGTAACATAAATTCTAATATGGTGAGTATATTCTAGTGCATGATGTATTGTATAAAAGTACAATCATTAAATAATGTGTTCACCAATTCAGTAGGCATTATTGAAGATAGATTTAGCTGCAGGGAGAAGTGAACAGCAAAGACACTAAGTCCATGCACCCATTTGTACATTTCCTGCGTAGTTGTTAGTGTGATTAGTGCTGGGGAATCATTATGCATCACTATGACTTTATATGGAGTAATGACATTTAGTAGCATCTACCTTATAGATACCATTACAGCTACTTAATTGAAAATTGCAACATAATTTAGATTGATTTATAAATGAACATTTTAAGATATTACAGGGAATGTACATAAAATGTAGGCTATTACTGCGAACAAGTGCCATGTTTGCATGCTTCCATAATTCATATGTAATAACATTTAATATGCTACTAAACTGAAGAAAATCAAGTGGTTCAAAATTGAGAAGCTAAAATAAATCTTGATATTAAAAAATCTTTAATTTTGAACTCGTAAGTTAATGATCAACATTATAATATTCCCTCTGTCCCAATTATATAATTCCTTGATAAGTAATAAACTATGTATTAAGCAAAATAGCCGCTGTGAGTACCTAATTGTTCCTGTACCATATAGACTGAGGTGCTTCAAAAGGCAAGCCTCAGACTCTGGGGATCCTGATGTGTTTATTGATTTATCTTATATTTGTTCCAAAAGAAAGCAGTAAATGTTTTAAAATCTTTATTCCTTTTTTTGTCATATATGTTTATTATTTTATAGTTTATAGAGAATGTGTTTTCATAATAATTTCTTAAAAAGAAAAAAAATCCTTTTGACGTAATGCCAGTTGAAACACTTAACCTTTTTAGAGATTCACCTGTGAGTGTAGGGTAATTTTTTTTTTTGTTAAGATTTATTTATTTATTTATACAAGCACTGGGTACATGGGAGGGTGAGAGAATTCACCAGAGCCAGAGCGGGGAGCAAAGCAGGCAGACTGACGAAATCCGCTGCTGAGGGGAGCAGTGGGTGGCAGGAGAGGTCTGCGCGCCATGTGGGACCCTCGCCCTGGGGGGGCCGGGGATCAAACCGGCGCTGCAGAGGCTGCAGGCAGCTTCGCAACCCAGCGCTCAACTGCTGTGCCACCAGGGGAGGCCCGGACAAATGGTTTTCAGGTTTTTCTGCCCTCCTGCCATTAGGATTGCCCTGCCTGATGGGGCACCTGCATTTTGTTTGTTACTTTGTTATAAGTTGTGTTGTTTATTTCTGTGGGCCATGGGGCATATTGAGATAGTCACCAACAGAGGCAGAAGCAGAAAGAGGCAGGAAAGAGAGAAGGGGAGAAAGAAAGCCAGAGAAGCTCAGAGTGAAGACTTGCCAGGGGTTTGGGAACCTGCTGGACTCCTGCCCCCCCTTCCCCCGGACCTCCACCCCTGTCTGCCATGTACCTGGTTGCTGCACTACATGTGAAAGCTCAACAAAAGCCTGAGAAAGCCACGGAGGGTTCCAGGACTCTGCTTTGCCCATCTGCTGCAATCGTAGATATCCTGCTCTAGGCCCTTTCTGGCACTACAATATATATTATATGGTATACAATTAACATGTATTAATTAATATATACAATGAATGCATATTAATTGCAAAATATAAGGAAATTATAATATATAAGGGATATATAAGAAAGACATTTAGCCACATCTACTGTAATCGCTCTAGGCGATTACTTATCGAACCGTTTACGTAAAGAGTGATATTTACTAAATAATTTGAGTTGTTTAGTTATAGTTACTTGTGAACACCATCTTCCTCATGCATAAAAGGGATTTTGTTTTTAAGGTTTAAAATATTTTAGTGGGCCTCCTCGGTGGCGCAGCGGTTGAGCGCTGGGCTGCAAAGCTGCCCACAGCCTCTGCAGCGCCGGTTCGATCCCTGGCCGCTGGTGAGGGTCCTACATGGCGTGCAGACCTCTCCTGCCACCCGCTGCTCCCCTCAGCAGTGTACTTCATCAGTCTGCCTGTTCTGTTCCCCGCTCTGGCACTGGTGAATTCTCTCAACTTCCTGGGTTTCTGATTGTACCCAGTGCTTGTATAAATAAATAAATAAATAAATAAATAAATAAATAAATAAATAGTTAAAAAAAATTAGCAGTAGGGCCTCCCTGGTGGCGCAGCAGTTGAGCGCTGGGTTGCGAAGCTGCCCACAGCCTCTGTAGCGCTGGTTCAATCCCCGGCCGACGGCGAGGATCCCACATGACGCGCAGACCTCTCCTGCCGCCCGCTGTACCCCTCAGCAGTGTGCTTCGGTCCTTCTGCCTGCTCTGCTCCCTGCTCTGGCTCTGGTGAATTCTCTCACTCTCCCGCGCTTCTGACTGTACCCAGTGCATGTATAAACAAACAAACAAACAAATAAATAAACCACAAATGTTTAAAAAAATAGCAGTAAATATATAATATAAGCTATTGTATAATAGAAAGGATACTAATTACGAAGAGAAAATATCTGACCAACTGACTGTGTGATCCAGAGGAGCTGTTAAGGTCTCTAATGCCCTATATGCATTTCTTAAAAAAACATTTCATCATCATTACCACCACCATCACCATCATAGTCATCATCATATGTGCCCTAACTAATCTCAAAGTTGTTGTGGAAAAAGTACTCCCTTGTAAATTATTAAACACCATGTAAATGTAAATAATGATAACTGAAAAAATATATTTAGTAATTTACATTAACTCAAGCAGTTAAATATAATCATTTTCATATGAGGACTTGATTTATGCTGACTAAACTGTCGTGCTTAACCATGTAGTAGTTAATTGTGTTTAACTCAATATAGTGATGTATTATTTTCCATTAAACAAATAAGGTACCATGAAATCTTTAAAAGTAAGATGTCAGCACACGAAAATAACATGTGTGCTTATAGTAGGGACCAGTCACTTAAGTGTGCTTTTTTGCCACTTTTTAGAACAAAGGGTATGTTACAGTTTTTTTCTATTTCAGCTCTATACTTGTCATTCTGTGAGGAGATTATAAAATATTTTCTTCTATCAGAATTATTGGCTTCCTATTTCTCCTCCTATTACTTAAAAATATAAAGAATACAAAAGATAGTGCAGCCACAGTGTGCTAAAATTTCTGGTTCAGCTAACGCAGTCAGTGCTTGATTGCATGTTTTAATGTTCTCCATCACAACCCAATTTCTCCAGTAGTTTTATTTAAATGAGTCTCTCCAGTTCAGTTGAGAACTAACCTGTTCAATATCCATTTCTCTTACCTTATGGGAGGAGAAAGAAGAAAAAGGAATAATGAGAATATAAAAGATACATTTGTATTAATCCTTCTCTATTTTTAGTGTGCTGTCATAGAGGATTTGGATTTGTTCCTATAGCTCTAATTCTCCAATAAAGTCAAAAGTTACATATAGCATATTTTGGTCACCTTAAACTATTTTGTTTTTAAATATGTTTAAAGGCATTGTAGTAAAGTCATAATTATTTAGCTTGATTTCAAAGTGCTGTTATGAGGTTTCTGGGATAAAAAAGAATTCTGTAGGATACACACATTAGGAAACATAGACTCTGTATACTGTTTCTATTTAAGAATAGGGAATTTCCTTTCCTTGCTGTTGGAACCCATTTCCCCTTTCAAAGCTGATCCAGGCACAGGGCTTCCGTTGACTTTGACAAATGGCACACTTTAATTAGCTCTGTGGATCACAAAGCCAAAAGGCTGGATTGAGCTTTCCACTCTGTCCTTTGCTCACTGGCAAGGCTGGATTTGCTAAATACCGTTGTCACATGGTAATCATAACAAGATAGCTCTTTGGAGAAAGTAGTTTCAAACTCAACTAAAATGAAGAAAACCCTTTACTTAATTGTTGCATCTGTTCTAAAGGACAAATCTCTTTCTGAAAACTAGGAGACACAGTGTTTACATTAAAATGTGATTAACAGTCTCATCTTCTGATGCTTTAATTACCCTATAAGCCAAAGGGATTATCTAAATGTGGGGAATTTTGTGCTGTACTGTAATTGTGAATGGTTACTAAGAACTGAGTTAGACTGAGATACAGGTTCTTTAAAATTAGGAACATAACCCTACAATTCACCTACTATTATCTGTCCAAGTAACGTATTTGGAGAGAGGTACCATAATAGCAATGTCAACATTCCCCTAAAAGATGGAAAATAACAATCACAATAAAAAATTTCACTCTAACCAAAATAAAGTCCATGTTTCAAAGCTCAATTCAGATATAAAGAGAGTCTGGCTGGATACCTAACACTTGTAAACTTAAATTTGCCTAAAATTCAAGCTGATGTGGTTTCTGAATTCTCCATCAACAGTAAAGTAACACTTATTTGGCAGCGGACATTTTATTATTACTATTTTTTAAAAGATTTTATTTTTGCACACAAGAGCTGGGGTGTAAGCCAGAGGTGTGGGGGTGGGGGTGAGGGGATTCACCAGAGATAGCATGGAGAGCAGAACAGGTGGATCTACTGAAATACACTACTGAGGGGAGCAGCGGGTGAGACAGGAGAGGTCTGCTGCGCCATGTGAGTTACCTCCCTGGCTGGGTATCAAACTCATGCTGCAGTGGCTGCAGGTAGCTTCATAGTGCTAAGACTTAACCTCTTGCACCACTAGGGAGGCCCAGTGGACATTTTATAAACTTCAATTGATAATCCAAAACTGGGCAGCAAGGAGGTAAAAGGAAAATGTTCTTTGGGAGTCACCAAATGCATTGCTCAGCACTTCTACTATGTATGGTAAAAGTTCCCTCTCAACTTAAAAAAAACACAATCCAACCCATCACAAACTGATAATTTTGTAAAATACAAAATAATTACTAAATATATATAAAATATTTTTATAAGACTAAAAATAAGTGAATTTAATTGTCCAATTTTAAAAGTTTCTGTATATATAGACCTTATTTCTGTGTGATAGTTAACAATTTGTAGATTATACTCATCTCTCCACATGTTGAGTAGGTCTGACTTAGTGTAAAGGCAAAGACATCTAAACCATCTAACAGTTCTCAGACCCCTGCTTTCTGTCAGTCTACTACACTGATGATGTACAAGATGAAGTCATATGAGCATCAATAACTGTACTCTATTCATGTTTGACAAATATGTGTAAATCTGTATCAAGATATTCATGCTAAATGCTTGGAATATATAAGATGCCTGAGAATGGGTGACAAGCCTCACTGATGTAGAAAATTCACAGGTATGCTCTTGATGCCTACGTCCTTCATATAAAGGTCACCAGGAGTGCACCTAAATCAAGCAATTTTTACTTGTTTCAGGGACAGAACACACATCAAGAAACCACAGGATGTCTTAGTAAGAGGGCATAAGAACGAATCTGTTATAGGATTTGGACTTTGTGTAGGTGATTGAGGGTGACTTTAAGGAATCAGGGTTTCCTCTGTAGATTTGATGCTGTCAGAAAGTAGGGGCAATTCAATCATTGGTTGTTTTATGGGGGTATGGTAACTTTTTGTTTATCCTTAAAAACATATCAAGTGTTCTTGTTTTTCTTTTTTTTTAAGATTTATTTATTTATGAATGAAAGAACAGGGGTACAGGCCAGAGGTGTGAGGGGAGAGAGGATTCATCAGAGACAGAGTGGGGAGCAGAACAGGCAGATTTACTGAAATACACTGCTGAGGGGAATAGTGGGTCAGACAGTAGAGGTCTGCTGTGTCATATGTGGGTCAGCTCCCTGGCTGGGGATCAAACTCTGGCCACAGAGGTGATAGTATGAGAGTGCTGAGACTTAACCCTTATGCCATCAGGGAGGCCTTGGCCTTGTTTATTTTTCATGGTCCTCTTGTAATATTGTCTGAAGTAGATTTTCTGTGAATTTATATCCCATAGAACAAAATGGCCTGACTTTAAGAGTCAGATTAGCTTGTGAAAATATTTATGTCAAATAGACTCTGGACATGAAGTTGCAAATTGGAACATAAAATTTCAGTTGTGTTCATTGTCAAAACCCTATCTTTAACAAATTCTCTGAGGTTTTCCTCTGATGATGATATATAATTTGTAAATAAGACTTTTTGACCTAGCCAAATAATCTATGTAGTCACGCAACATATATGGTTATCAACAACAAAAAACTTTAAAAAAATTTAGTCAAGTCACTCACAAGCTTCAAAACTTATATACTTACATATTTATTCAAAATAAGTTTGTAACAGTAGAACTGTCAGCCATCCAGGATGAAATATCTCAAGCAATTTGGAAAAGGGATTTCCTTCTATGGCTTCCACTTTTGGGGGAGACTGCATCACAAAGCAGAAAATTGCATTGTTTGCATAAAATATGTGCATTTACTGATCAGTAGGACTCAATCTGATGTCTTCCATAATTTGAGAAAAAAGCTTTTCTATGGAATATTCTAACATCCCAAACATCGTTTCCATTTGCTTTTCTAAATAATTATTCCCCAGAGTCAGTTGACTTGTGCAGACTTATCCAAACCTGGATCTCCATTGTTTGTGTTCCTGACATAGAGTAGATCAATATACATCTGTGCAACTTTACCAGAACTTACATGTCTTAGTTTAAAGTTCATGTGTGAACCTCTGGTATTCTCCCTTAAGAGTACTCAACTTGAAAATTATTTTTAAATTGTATAGTTAGTGTTTTTATAATAGATGAGAATTCTAAAATCTTTGGAATTTCATTAAGTGTCTCTTTTCAGCATATAAATAAAATGTCAGCCACAATAACTATTTGAGTACATATCTCAGGATGTTTGTTTGAATTTTTACTATTGACAAAAATTCAATCATAATGTTATGCTACCATTGTCTAACAATAAAATCAGTACTGTTTATACTAGTTATTCTTGTAGACCACTTAAATCTGTGAAACTCTTCAGAAGCACTCAAAGAAAAAAAATAACAGTAATAATAACAGTAATTTGTTATATGAATTTGTAAGCTCTTAAAGTAGTTAGCACACATTGCTTATGTCCAGGTAGGCAAATATTTTTATCTTTTAACAGGAAAGCCAAGTTTGTTTGGTCTTGTTGCAACTTTCTCTGTTCCCCTTTATTGGGTATCAGAGAGAAAACTAAGTCATCTAGAATTTAAGAAGCACAGCTGTTACCTCAATAATAATAATAAAAAATCTCAGTAAATAGTGAATATTTAGGAATGAAATAATTTGATCACCATGCAAATGTATGTGTAACTTCCTAAGAAACTGCCAAATTGTTTTTCAAAGTGATATAGCGTATTTCATACCTGATAGTAGTGCATATAGTTTTGGGCTATTAACTTTTCTTCTAATCCTTGGTATGATCAGTATTTATAATTTTGCCTATCTAATATGTATATCATGGTTTCTTATTATGACTTTAAATCTTATTTACTTAATACTTATATATGCTGAGTAAACAAAGAAAAAATGAAGCACAACTGTGTCTAATAGCTGTCCCTTAGAAGAAATAGCATTTTGTCTTATTGTAAAAGTGATATTGAGCACGAGGACCCTGTGTGAAAAACATTGAGCTGTTAAGCTCAAGTTAGTTATGTATACTTACAAAAATATACTTGAGTAAATCACTCCACCTGGTGAAACACAAAATGATAAGTAAATATGAATATCATTTGTATGTTTAAAATTAATTTTCATGTTTACTCAGGTCAAAGGATTCTTCCTCAGGTATATTTTTAAATTTTAATTCCAGGAGCAGTTACAGTTTAATCAGAGAGGATATGAAGTTAGCAACCTTCTCTGGCACTGTGTGGCTGCCTGGTCTTGTGTTCAGAAGAACAGCACTCAGTTGAATAAGGTGCTTGAACATCTCATCTTTTATAAAACAGAGCTTCAAAACAGATGTTGGTAAGAGAGATCCTATAAATCCAAAGTAACTCATGGAGAAATCTTCATGTTTAAATGTTGAATAACCTTTGTTCTTAAATGTTAATCACACCTTAGTTGACTATGAAAAAAAAATATAATCTCAGTTCCAAAGGCAGCATCAATTCATATATTTTGGATTAGTTCATTTCATCAATAAATTGCACCTCTCTCTCTCTCTCTCTCTCCCCCTCTGCTACACACGCATGCATGAATTGAATTGTTTCTCTTTATTAAATGGAATTTGTTAATGATAAAAAGTTCATTCCCACATTTAAAACATCCTGAACTTTCCAAGTTGTCAAAAAACAATACTGAAGTGCAGTTTATTATCCTTGGAGGAAATATGCTAAGGTTCTATGTCTTTATGCCTTGTAAACTATAGCAAAATTGAATCTTTGTAGATAAGTGATCATTACCCCCGTACATATCTTAATTTGAGAAGGGAAAAAGAAGTCTTAAATTACAATGAAAGAGAGTATGGAGAGAAGAAAAAGTTTAAAGGATATTCCTAAGGAAATATTCCAATATTCCTAAGGAAATTGGTCAGAGGGTATCTCCAATATTTGACAGTGCTCATACTTTTGCATTCCTTTTCCAATTCTAAAAGTAATAATAATGTGCTGTGTCTATAGAAAGTTTTACATTCATGGGCCTCCCCTGGTGACGCAGGCAGTTGAGCAGAGCACTGTGAAGCTGTCCACAGCCTCTGCAGCGCTGGTTCAATGCTGGCCGGCCGTTGAGGGTCTCACATGGCGCGGCAGACCTCTCCTATATCACCCGCTGCTCCCCTCAGCAGTGTATTTCGTCAGTCTGCCTGTTCTGTTCCCCACTCTGTCTCTGGTGAATCCTTTCACCCTCCCGTGCATCTGGCCTGTACCCCGGTTCTTATATAAATAAACAAATCTTAAAAAAAAAACAAAGAAAGTTGTACATTAAATTGTCACATATTTTTTTTTTTTTAAATTAAGTCAGTCCTGTTTTTAAGCCTATCATAGCCTACTTTGCTTGTGTATATGTAAATTCTAAGAATCTGCAGTATCCTTTATGAATGAAAGGTGTTTTATCAATTTCATTTGGAAGTGTTTGGGCTTCTAAATCAAGTGCCTGCTTTCCCAGAAGTAGTTTAGTTTTGAAGCATATTCAACAAGAGCTTATTCTGTCTCATGGTCTGATGGAAGGAATCTACTCAATATTGCAGTTAAGAAACATTGTGATTATTTTATCTTTAAAGCCTATTAAATTTACAATGAAAATAGAATGCAGTTGTTATATCCATAATAAAGAATATAGTTTTAACAAGCATATACTAACATAAAACTTCTAAATGAAACAAAATTTAATGGTTTTCACTGGTGCAAATTACACTACTCTGAAAGCCATGGCAATTATTTAAGACCACAGTATTATAGAAAATAAGTTGTATGTGATTCAAATATACAATTTAGATTTCAAAAGAACAAATAACTAGAGGTATTGTAGCTCTTGGAAGATGCTAACTTAAGTTTCTAAACAACAGAAGTTATATTTTAACGTATAAAAAATATTGTATGACTTTGTCAAATTTATTTTCAAAGCACTCTAAAAATTAACAAATAAATACATTAAAGTGCTGAAATAATAAAAGCAGATAACAAAGAATATCTAATTCATAAAGTCAAATCAATTTTCAGTTTTTCTATATGATATGTAGAATAATTTTCTTTCTTTTTTTAAAATATTTATTTATTTATTTATACAAGCACAGGGTACAGTAGAAGCGCAGGAGGGTGAGAGAATTCACCAGAGCCAGATAGGGGAACAGAACAGGCAGACTAACAAAATACACTGCTGAGGGGAGCAGCGGGCGGCAGGAGAGGTCTTCGCACCATGTGGGACCTTTGCCTGCAGCTGGGGATCGAACCGGTGCTGCAGAGTCTGTGAGCAGCTTTGTAGCCCAGCGCTCAACCACTGCACCACCAGGGGAGGTCCAAGAATAATTTAATTTTGTAATGACATGTGTTTTGGGCAGTTTTTTTTTTTTAATACTTAGTCTCATATATTGGGAAATTAGTTATAACACAAAACACATTTTTTGTTACACATAAGAATTAGAGGCCAAGTTTATTAAATTGACATGTGACATTAAGATTTTAAGATTCGGGTGCCTCCCTGGTGGTGCAAGTGGTAAAGTCTCAGCTCTATGAAGCTAGCCACAGCTACTGCAGCACGAATTCACTCCCTGGCCAGGGAGCTAACCCACATAGCCCAGCAGACCTCATCTGTCTCACCCACTGTTCTCAGCAGTGTATTTCAGTCAATCTGCCTGTTCTGTTCCCTACTCTGTTTCTGGTGAATCCTCTCACCCTCTGCACCTCTGGCCTATCCCCCAGTTCTTGTACATAAAAATAAATAAAATCTTGGAAAAAAAAAGATTTTAAGATTCCCAGTATAGAGCTGGTTTCAGTACATCTTGTCATTTTGGCTGTGTTATCAAGCAGGTAACTACTGAATTCTGACTTTTCTTTTTTTCTGGATGGTCATTGTGAAAAGATAGGAAGGAGGCGTCTTCCAACTCTGTGTTTATATGATGCAGAATGAACAGAGAAGTAAATTGAGAAATGGTGAAGCAGTGAATGCTTATAATAGAAAGGACAAGATAATCATTTAAAAGAGTGGTGCCAAATAGTTTTGATTTTATTTCTTGTTTTTGCTATTTTTATAAATAAAGGGTTTTATATTTTCTTTAATGAAAACTCTAGAGAACAAAAATAGCCCATTATCATAAACCACTGTCCTTTTTTTATTTTTATTTTATTTTATTTTTTTAAAGATTTATTTATTTATTTATACAAGCACTGTGTACAGTCAGAAGTGTGGGAGGGTGAGAGAATTCACCAGAGCCAGAGAGGGGAGCAGAGCAGGCAGAAGGACCGAAGTACACTGCTGAGGGGAGCAGCGGGCGGCAGGAGAGGTCTGTGCGCCATGTGGGACCCTCCTCTGGTGGCCGGGGAGCAGCCGGGGATCGAACCAGCGCTGCAGAGGCTGCGGGCAGCTTTGCAACTTAGCGCTGAACTGCTGCGCCACTGGGGAGGCCCCCATTGTCTTTTTAAATCAAAGATCTGACTAACTTTTCTCTCAAAAATTTTTTCCTGATATAAATATAACATTATACCAAATTTTTTTTCATTATACCAAATATTAAGGAATTAACTTTTCTTCTCATAGAGTATTTAAGTTACTTATGTAATAGCATAAATAGATTTGAAGAAGTCATTATTCCACAACAAACTGTGACATAATTGTCACATTCAGAACAGAAGTGCCCTTTCTTTTCTGGAGGAAAACTCCCCACTATCCAACACAGTCAATGAGGCAAACGTTACTCTGATTCCAAAACCAAACAAAGATGGTACTAAAAAATATATATGGGCCAGTATCTCAGGTGAATATAGATGTAAAAATCCTCAACAAAATCCTAGCAAACTGAATTTTGTAATTTATAAAGATAATTGTCCATACCCACCAAAATGAAGTAGATTTCATGCCAGGGATGCAAGACTGGTTGAACATACATGTACCAATAAATGTCATCCATCAGGTCAACAGAAAGGAATACAAAATCCACACGATAATCTCAATAGATGCTGAAAAAAATATTCAATAAGATTCAAAATTATTCACCAAAAATGGGAATAAATGGAACTGATCTATATAATAGCTTTATATGACAAACCTACAGTTAATATTATACTCTATATTGAAAGGCTGAAGGCATTCCCTCTAAGATCAGCAATAAGACAGGGATGCCCACTATCACCACTGTTATTCAACATAGTTAGGAAAAATTAGCTGATATAATTAGGCAAGAAAAAAATTATACAATTAATCCAAATTGGAAAAGAAGTGAAACTCACTATTCACACTTGATATATCAACATACTTATAGAGAAACCAAAAGACTCTACAAAAAATAAGAACTGGCAGTACAGAAAATCAGTACACAAATACTGATGACATTTATATATTCAAACGCTGTCAGGAAAAAGATGTAAGAAATAGAAATAGAAATAGAAATAGGTTTCAGGGGCCTCCCTGGTGGCGCAGCAGTTGAGTGCTGGGTTGTGAAGCTGCCCGCAGCCTCTGCAGCACCGGTTCAATCCTCGGCCCCTGGAGAGGGTTCCACATGGCGTGCAGACCTCTCCTGCTGTGCCCACTGCTCCCGTCAGCAGTGTACTTTGTCAGTCTGCCTGTTCTGTTTCCTGCTCTGGCTCTGGTGAATCCTGTCACCCTCCCGCACTTCTGACTGTACCCAGTGCTTGTATAAATAAATAATAAATAAATATTAAAAAGAAAAAAAAGAAATAGGTTTCATTTACAATCACACCAAAAAGATTGAAATACCTGGGAATAAATTTAATGAAAGAGGTGAAGGATCTGTGCACTTCAAACTATAAAACTCTGTTAAAGGAAATGAAAGAAGACACAAAGAAATGGAAAGATATCCTGTGCTCATGGGTTGGAAAAATTGATATCATTAAGATGGCTATATTACTGTAGGGTAAATGATTTTCAGGCTTTTCTGCCCTCCTTTCATTAACATTGTATGCCTAGTGGCAGGCACCTGGATTTTGTTACATTGTTATATTCAGTTGTGTTGTTTACTTGTGTGGGCCATTTCTGCAGTATTGATATATTCCTAAAGAGAAGTAGAGGCAGGAGAGAGAACAGCAAAGAGAGAAGGGGAGAAAGAATGCCAGAGAGCCCAGAGTGAAGACTTGCCAGGAACTTGGAGGCCTGCTGGCCTCTCAGCATCCTGGCACTTCTGCCTGCTGTGTACCTGGTTGCTGCACTACATGTAAAAGCTCAATAAAAGCCTGAGAAAGCCACCGAGGGCTCCAGGACTCTCCTTCACTGGTCTGCTTGAATCATAGAAAACCAGCTCTGTGCGAGCCTGCCACTACAAGTACCCAAAGCAATTTACAGATTTAATGCAACACCTG